ATAATGAGAAGAACTCATCAAGAGCTTATTCAACCTTTTGAATGACTCTATCACAGAAAGGAGGTCATCAACATCCCCAGCAGAAAGTTCATAATAAGAACTTATTTGGAGAGAGAGAAGAATTTATTCAATATCTCCATTATGATCAAGTGAAGCCAAATGGATAAAAAAATTTATTATCTTTTCATCTTTGCCCTATTCTTGTTAACACAAGAATGAGAAAAGAGGGGCAGCTGAAGATACTAATTTTTTACCCATATCATTATTATTATTATTATTATTATTATTATTATTATTATTATTATCATTATTATTATTATTATCATTATTATTATTATTAAATATATTAAATACATATATAAATATTATTAAAAAAATAAATAATAAAAAATAATAATTACAGGCCCAATTACAACTGGACCGGCCCAGTTACAAACCAACCAGAACCGGTCCAAATCCAACCAGAAACCCTAAATATTTGGGTTTCCAGTTAGGGTTTCCTAACCCTAATTTACCCAGCCGCCTCAGCTCACAGCCGTTGGATCTGGCAAGATCCAACGGACCAGATTGTCCCAGATGGAAACCCTAGGGTCTGATACCCTAGGGACACGCGGCCGCCGTTGCTATCTCGCCGCCTCCGCCGCTGCCACGTCCCCAACCGAAGACTCCAGAAGATAGAATACCAGCCGTCCACGCCATGGCTACTCGGTGAGTCACCACTGGTAGTCCGGTGACTTACCGAGAGCCCTTCTTCGGACCGGTCCGACAGCTACAACGGTGGTGGCTATAAAAGCCACCACCCGAACCTGAAAAAGAAAAAGAGGAGACAGAAACAGAGAACGGAGAAGAAAAAAAAACAAAACAAAGAAAGGAAAAAAAACAAATATACCAACGATCTCAGTCAACATCAACGCAGCAAGAAGAAAAAAAAAAGAAGAGAGGAAAGAAGCTTACCCTGTCATCGGAGAACCACAACTGTCGCCGGATCTCACCAAAACCTTCGAAAAGCCGAAGGTATTATTTTAGATTTGCTCCGATTGGGAGCTGTTTAACGGAAAAAAACATCGGAACCGTCATTAGGACGGTCCGATCTACATTTAGAATAAAAAAAATTTTTCTGGCCACCGAAGACGGTGGCCGGCGGTGGTGGTTGACGGCGGATGAACGCCGGTTAACGGCTGCCGGCCGGCTGGGCTTCTCTCTGTTATAGAGAGAAGCGAGAGAAACTTCTCTCTCTCAGAGAAGAGAGAGAGAAGGAAAAAAAGAAATGAAATGGCTGGCCCTTCGGGCCAGCCGGTTTGGACCATATATAGTCCTTCCCGAACGACGTCGTTTCGGGAAGGACTATGCACGTAATTATGAAATAGTTAAACCCCGTCCGCAGTCCTCCGTATTTGTAAATTTTACATTTTAGTCACTAAATTAAATTTATAATATTTTTAATTCAGTCTTCGAATTTTAATTTCTTTTATTTTAGTCCTTCATATTAAAATAATATATTTAGGATAAATAACAGATTTAATCCCTTAATTTTAATAAATAATTTTTTAATCCCTAGTTCATATTTTTAATTTATTTTATTATAAAATTCGAATTTTAAATAATTTTATTTTGGTCACTAAATTATTAAATTAGAAAATAAAATATTTAATCCCTATAATTTCAATTAATTAGGAATTAGATTTAGTTTTATTTTTATTATAATTTAGTTATTTATTTTATATGTTTTCATTTATTTTATTGTTTTTAAATATATTGTTTTAATAGTATTTGTATTTTTATTTTATTATATTGTTAAATATTTTTATATTCATAAATATATAATAAATAGTATTTTTTAAATATTTATTTTTAATATCGAAGAAAAGGACAGTCTTAATACAACTGGATGTCCTATTCTGATATTTTAAAATTAAAAAGTAAACAATATAATTTAAATTAATATTTATCAATATCAAAGAAAAGAGCTGTCTTAAGGCACCTAGAAGTTCTTTTCGGATATTTTTAAATAAATAAATTTTTTTTTATAATTTTGAAATAATAGAATTATAAATTAAATATATTTTTGAATTTTAAAAATTTTAATAATAGAGACAATTTATAATTAAAAAGTACCAATTTTGGGCGTTGTAGGGGTGCTAATCCTTCCCTAAACGTAACCGACCACGAATCCCTTTTTATTATTAAAAAGAATGAATTTTTGGTTATAAACGCAGATCAGTTTATTGGTGTTTTATTAAAACTCTTTTAAAAAATAATTTTTAGGTATTCGACCTACCTGACCCAAAAAGCCGATGGCGACTCCTAAATTATTTTCAAAATTATTTATTCACGTCAATTTCCCCACCAAATTTAATATTTCGTGCCCGGACGAAAACCGGTTACGACAAGATGTAAGAGCTATTTTTTTCCATATGAGTAGAAGACTGAGTTAAACAGGGAGAAGTTGATGAGGATTACCTTAATCTTCCTTAGTATATTTGAGATTCTCATTTTCACAATCCTTCAAATCCATCATATCAAAAGTCATCTCATCCTTAAATTCAGACTAAGTATAGCATAAGAAACTATCTTTTGAAGTTAAGAAATACCATTTGCATTATATCTATATATGACCTTACTTGGTTATGTCATTGGATGCTAGAAGTTGAAAAATTATCTTGTCTCTTATGAAATTTGAAAATTCCTATAAGAGATTCTGCATACAGTCATTATCTTAAAATATTAATATTAGTCATGAAAGAGAAGAGAAGAACAATATATTAGAATGAATTTAGGATTAATTGGGAATTAGAAGTTGAAGGATATGCTTTGATATTTGCCCCCTCATGTGGTAATACTTCATGCAACACTGGGGTATTTGAGTGTCCTCCACAGAACATCTCTTTGGGTAACCTTCCACACGTACAGTTTGTAAGGATGGGAACCCAAAGTTATAATTCTCTGATGGGCAGAAGCTCTGCAGCTTTGGTAGAGATGCAAGTTTCACAATGTTGAGTTGGGGGAAACTGATTTCATCATCACCATCATCATCCCCACCTTTTATTATTTCTTGTATATTTCTGCAATATTCTATACTCATTTCTCTGAGCTGCACTAGACTTTTGGCTGTGGTATGCATAATTAATTTAATGATTCCACTACATTTCTCTACTTTCAAAGTCACCAGGTTTCGAAAAGAAACGAGGATGGAACCAGATTAATTAATTTGGGACAAGACTCCACAACCAAAATCCTCCCTTTCCCTTCCATAGATGCATCAATTCATGAAGATCTCTTAGCCTTAATTCAGTTATGAGAGAGAGTGACACCCATGTGGACTTTTCCTTACCCCCTTCTTCACTTTGGAATATCATCTCTTTAAAGCCACACCACAATATTTTAAGTTTTTGAAGATTGGGCAAGGATAACAAGGGGAACAAGCAAGATGGCAGCGACAATACTTCCTTATGATAAAACGGAAGATTGACAACTTTAAGGTTGGGAAAGCAGTGAGATACAAATTGTTGGCCATGACAATGCCATATCTCCTTCATTCTATAATTCCATCCCAAAGCCAATTTATGCAGCTTTGGAAACGTAAACTGCACAATTCCCATTTATTAAATAACAACAATAACAGAGTATAAGAAGGAATAAATAGTGTAGGAGTTAGGATGAATATACCTGATTCAGCCAAAACAGGGGTTGTTGACTGCTCTTTCCACTTGTTTCTTCTGAAGCAAACAACATCTCCACTTTGTAACATCTATCCACTCTCATCTTCTCCAACGAAGTCCAATTTATAATAAGCATTTTATGATAGATACTCCTTAGATTTGGCAGTCTTATAAGAGTTAAGGATGTCATGCATGGAAATTTAAATGAAATAACATCCGATTGACTGAATTTTGGAGAAAATAATTGCATAGTACTGTTGTTCCCTTTTTCTTGGGGTAGGGAATCAAATATTAGATATTCCAGTGATGTACAATCAAATATCTTCAGTCGGTTAAGCCCATAAAGTCTCATCAACATACTCGACGGAAAAAGATTCAATAGCTTAGGACAATCCATCAAGCTAATGGAAGTTAATTTGAAAAAGGAATACTGAACAAGTTGGTTGGGCCATAGCCTTTCCGAGTTGTCCAGGAATGAAATAACCAATTCCTCTAGCACAGGAAATATCACCTACATGGGTGCATGAATAATTCATTTCAATGTATTACTTAATATATATTAACATAAAAGAGAAAAGAAAACACAACATCAAGAGTTTTCCTCTTATTCCATAGGATGTTTCATCTAGCTCTCTCGTAGTAAGATACTTAAGATGTGGAAAACCTTCTGTATCAAACTCAAAAAGCAGATCCTTGGCACCTTCCAATCCCTCTATACATAACTCTTGGGCTTTCTTTATCAACATTTCCATCCCTTTATCTAAGTCATTGCCAATGTCTAACTTTTTAATATGCAACGCTTTTAAAGCTTTACTCTTAGTGAACAAATTGAAGCTACTACAGGGAACGAAATGGATAGAGAAACGTTGATCAAATTCTCCTATATCATTCTTGTATCTTTCCAGATTTCTCAAGAACAAGTCTTCATTTGGCATCGTTTTGACATCCGGAATGGATACATCTAATGCCAACAAAGAAGACAAGTTGTTCAACTCTTCAAGTCGAGCATTACCTCCAACATTCCATCGACAAAAGCTATTTCCTATAAGTAGCTCTTCTAATCTACACAATTTTGCTATGACAATTTCTGGGATGACTTCAAGTTTAGAGCATTCACTCAAATCTAATAACTTTAGTTGGGTCAATTGTGCTATCCTTATTGGCAATTGCGTAATAGTGGAATCGTGAAAGCTGAGGATATCTAATTTCTTCAGGTTCTCTATGATGGCTATCTCAGATAACTTGCATTCACACAAACGCAAGGTTTGAAGGTTTGTTAATGAAAGAAAAGATGAAGGTAGAGACTCAAAGCTCATACCAGTCACGCTTAACACCTTCAGCTTATCCATGTCTTTGAAAAAGTGTCTGAGACTCGGAAAGATGGATCTTCAGCTTATCCATGCTGTGTGGCAACGAGATAGCACTGCAACCTTTGAGATTCTCCTTCCTCAACAATTCCTTCAGACGATTTCCTTTGGTGCCCTCCAAAAGATCTAGCCCAAAGCAATATTGCAGCAAATCAAAGAAAGGGATATCGAAACTCTGAGGATGCAGGCCGCATATAAAGAACAAAGATTTTGCTTCGTCATTTCTCAGCCATTTGTAACTCAACGCAATGGTATAATATACATTGTCTTGCATCCCCTCTAGGTTTGATGAATTTGATCCCCGGAGCTGCAGTAAGGCATCCTCCCAAAATCTCAGGTCCATGTCTTTCAAAGTGTTTGCAATTGCTAAGATAGCGACAGGCAACCCTTCACATTTTTCCTTAAATTCATTTTCTATACGTTCATAGTTGCCGGATATGTCGCCCACTGTTTTTGAAAAAAGAATCATAGATTCTCCTTGGGATAAAATTTCGACTTTGAAACTCTTCTCAGCATGCGTGAGGCGAAGCACATTGAGGCTTCTGGAAGTCAGCAATATTTTGCATCCTGCAATGGAAGATCTTTTAGCAGCTTCATCCTCAAATGAGATACCAACCTCTTCAAGGTCAAGTTTCTGCCATAGGTCATCCAAAACTACAAGGATCCTTTTGTCAGTCTTCAATCACTGGCGTAGCTGCATTACTCCTCCAGTAACAGTCTCCTTCTCATAATGTAGGCCCAACATGTCAGCAATTTCTCCTTGATTTTTTCTGATGTCTGGATTATGAGTGACAACAGCCATTGCAACTTCGTTGAACGAGTGCTCCTCTTTACTCTGGCAGCAACTTCTTTGGCAAGTGTGGTCTTGCCTACGCCGGCCATCCCGTGAATTCCAACAATCCGAGCATTTGATTCATTTAAGGCCTCCATAATTCCCTCTAAGGCTTTTGTTCTCAATTCAAAGGCCTTGTAACCTTTGGTTATTATCCCCTCCATAGCAGGAGAATAAGAAACTTTGTCGAATTTCCCTTGTTCCAGGAGTTCACTGATAGCCTGCGCCTCTTCTACCGCTTTCTTGCTGACTTGGTAGCGAGACTTGACATTGGGACACAGCGCAAAGAAACATTTCTTCTTTTCTTTCTCCTCATCTTCCTTCAATTTCTCCTCAACGTTTTCAGTCAACTTCTTATTAACGTTGGCCAACCATTTGAGGACATCCGCTTCATTCTTCTCCGCATTCCTTATGGCCCTATCGACGGAATGCTGCACTCTACCTCGAGCATCTTCTAGCTTTCCAACTTGCTCCTTCAGATCCTGGACATTGCTGGCAACATATATTATGTACCCAATCTCACGTTTGATGACACCAAACGTGTATTTGGCAACTCTACTGGCAGCACTGCTTACAATAGATTGCATTTTTTTCCTTCTTTAAGCTATAAGAGAAAGACAACTATGAAATAAGCCAAATAACAAAACAAGAAACCACCACAAGTCTGTTACAATGGTTTTTTTTTTTTTGGGTGTGTGTGGAATGGAAAGTGAGAAAGGGCAAATTTGGGTATATGGTTTAGTATGGTGTGAGGGAAAAGAGAAACAATGGTTAATGACAAAATGAGAAGGTTTGAGAAAGAAACTAAATTGCTTCTGGAAATGTTAACTGTTGTAATATGACAAGAGATAAAAGTGAAATGTTAAAGGATTGAGGAAGCCATCATCTCTTCGTTAAAGCTAAATAATGGGGGAATGTGATTGGAACATTCTTTTCCTCCTTCCCATGCAAAATTTTGGATCATATTCCTTACCTACATTGCTTTTCAACCTACTTGTACAATCAAAGATACCATCAACCTTCTTGAAAACACTTCAAGAAAAGAACCAATTCATATTAGATTATGCTATAATATGAGAGATTATAAATAAATTAGTCTTTCGCCATAAACAAATTATACTTTCCTGTTTCGTCGCTGGAAGAATGTAATATTCCAAATTAAGTTAAGTTTGGTGAAAGTGTAGTTTTGAATTTCCTTTGTTTCTTTCTTTTGCTTTAATCAATGATTAATTACTTTATTGTGCCTCACACTTTAAACATCATGATAAGCTAAAGCACTTCATTCCGAACTCGCCAAAAAATACAGTCTGCACAACAAAAAAGAGAGCACAATAATTGGACAAGGTTCTATAAAGATCAAATAAATCGATTTCTCTTTAAAAATCGGTGGTTATTCCATTTAGTCAAATAAAAAACACAATACCGTGAAAATGAATAACAGAAACATACTAACTAGCAAGAACCTTAGCTAAGTTTTACAGTTTCGGATGAGGAGATCTATTGTTCTGAGAACGACACAGATTTGATTGACATTTCCACAGCTTTTGTTTAAAGGGAGGACTGGGAATTAATGTTCAAATCTTGTTTTAAACTGTTCATCCTTTCAGACCAATTTTCACAAAGCAGGGTGAACATTGCTCAAACATATTTATCTTGAATTAACTTGTCATGTACATTGCTGAAAGTACTGCTTCAAGTTAGAATAATGTAATGTTTAATCAATTGAACAAATTGCAGTTATTTTGCAACCATGAACCATGCGCATAATTGCAGCTATCTAGCAAACAGATGGAAATCTCTCATGTCTAAAAGCTCACTATCTGCATATATTTTGCAATGAAACCATTATAACCTAGGAAGTGTTTAATGTGTTGGAAATAAAACACTCACACAAACAACTTTTATTGAAACACAAACAAATATTACAAGAGCACTCTCACTCAAAAACAAGAACTACAATTCACTCTTATAAGACTTTGCTTCTTCACTCACTTAGAAGCTCTTAATTTTTCTTGATGCTTAAACTACAATGGGGAGGGGTATTTATACTACTTAAGAACAATCCTACACCACACAAATAAACTAATTTAAACCATTACAAATTCAACAAATACCTAACTCTCACCTAACTAAATTGATGTAAGCAATGACATCATTACTTAAATGATGTAAGCAATAACATCTTTACTTAAATGATGTAAGCAATGACATCAATTTAGTTTGGGTTTGGGTTTAGGCCCCCATAATGGATCGAGTTTATGATCCAACACCCCCCTTAAACTTTATCTTGTGACCCCTAGTAAGTTCCTTAATCTTATGAAGTCTTCACTTTTCAGTGGCTTGGTAAAAATATCGGCAACTTGATCTTGTGACTTCACGTATTCAACTTCCACATCGTTTCTTGCAACACACTCCCTTATATAGTGGTAGCGAATGTCGATGTGCTTGCTTCGATCATGGAATACTGGATTCTTTGCTAAGGCAATGGCTGACTTGTTATCCACACAAACCTTGGTAGGCTCTTCTTGTATCAAACCTATCTCATTCAATAGATTTCTAAGCCAAATTGCATGACAAACGCATGAGGTAGCAGCAACATATTCTGCTTCACAAGTGGACAATGTGACAATCGGTTGTTTCTTTGACATCCATGTGAAAGTAGTATCTCCCATGAAAAATACGAATCCAGTAGTGCTCCTTCGATTATCTATGTCTCCACCCCAATCACTGTTGCTATATCCAACAAGCTTGTAATCATTAGAAACTGAATAGAACAAGCCGAAGTCAATTGTACCTTTCAGATAGCGAAGAATTCTCTTTGCAGCTTTAAAATGGGTGGTTGTTGGAGATTCCATGTAGCGACTAACCAATCCAACTGCGTGAAGAATATCGGGCCTCATGCAAGTTAGATAGCGTAGACTTCCCACCAAACTTTTGAAGAATGTTGGATCTACACTTTCGCCTTCTTCATGTTTGGACATCTTGATCCCGTATTCTATCGGTGTGCTTATTTACTTACAGTTCTCCATCTTGAACTTCTTCAGTATCTCCTTTGCATAGCTTTCCTGTGAAATAAAAATTCCATCCTTTTGTTGCTTAACTTCAATGCCAAGGTAGTACGCCATGAGTCCCATGTTTGTCATCTCGAATCCCTTCATCATCACATCCTTGAATTCTTTAAACATGTTTGGGTTGCTTCCGGTGAAGATCAAATCATCCACGTAGAGGCACACGATCAAAATATCTCCATCTTTGATCTTGATATATAGAGCGTGCTCGTAGGGACATTTATTGAAGCCATTCTCTTGGAAGTACTTGTCGATTCGACTATTCCATGCTCTTGGTGCTTGCTTTAGCCCGTAAAGAGTCTTCTTCAACTTCAACACCTTGTCTTCGTGCCCTTTGACTTCGTAGCCTGATGGTTGCTGAATGTAAACTTCCTCTTCAAGAACTCCATTTAAGAAGGCAGACTTTACATCCATCTGTTGTATCTTCCACTTATTTTGAGCTGCCAAAGAAATGATTAGTCTCATAGTTTCCAATCGAGCAACAGGAGCAAATACCTCATCATAGTCAATTCCAGCCTTTTGACTATAGCCTTTAGCAACTAGCCTCGCCTTGTGCCTATCAATCTCTCATTTGGCATTTTAGTTTGTTTTGTACACCCATTTGACACCTATCGCCTTATGTCCCTTGGGAAGTGAGGTAAGTTCCCATGTGTCATTCTTCTCGATGGCCTTGATTTCTTCGTCCATCACATCTCTCTATTTCTTTTCTTGTACCGCTTCTTGAAAGCTCACTGGTTCACAATCGGCAAACAGACAAAATAATGTAAGATTATATTGTCGTTCAATTACCTCATAGAGATCTCTAAGGCTTCTTGTGCGTTGCACAACTCTTTCACTTTGACTCCCACTTGACGATGAAGAAGGTGATGAGTCTCCTTGAGTGGTTGATGTTGGTGAAGTCGGTGGAGTTGCAAGCTCTTGTTGAGATTCATCTAGTTGTTCCCTCATTGTCTGCTCATCCTCTTCAAACTGAGGAAAGAAATTGAAGTCATATGTATGAGAGTTAAAATCCCATTCTCCTTCTTCGTTGAAGACCACATCTCGACTAATCACAAACTTCTTATTGTCTGGATTGTACAACTTGTAGCCCTTCGAATTAGCATCATAGCCGATGAAGATGAAACTCTCACTTTTATCATCAAGCTTCGTTCTTCTCTCGTCTGGTACGTGAACATGGGTTATACTTCCAAAGGTTCTCAAGTGGGAAATGCTAGGCTTTCTTCCACTCCATGCTTCTTGCAGTGTCTTTCCTCATACACTTCTTGTTGGAGATCGGTTTGTCAAGTAGACTACACATGCTACTGCTTCCGCCCAAAATTCCTTGGGTAGTTTCTTGCTTTTGAGCATGCTTCGTGCCATGTCGAGGATTGTTCTATTCTTTCTTTCTGCCACACCATTTTGCTGGGGGGATCTAGGAACTGTCATTGGTCGACGAATTCCATTTGCTTCACAGAACTCTTGAAACTCCGTAGAAGTAAATTCTCCACCTCGATCGGATCTCATGGCTTTGATCTTTCTACCGCTTTCTCTCTCCACTGCTGCTTTGAACTTCTTTAAGACTTCAAAAACTTCTAACTTCTGTTTCAAGAAATATACCCAGGTTTTTCTTGAAAAATATCAATGAAGAGAAGAAAATAGTTACTGTTACCGAGAGAGCTTGGCTTGATCGGTCCATACACATCGGTATGGATAAGCTCAAGTGGCTTCTTGCCTCTGACTCCTTTGGAAAGCTTTTCCTGAATTGTTTACCGACTAGACACCCTTCACAAAGCTGGTCATGATGATTGATGCGAGGTAGTCCCTTCACCATCCCCTTCTTAGATAACAGCTCTAGACCTCCAAAATTGAGATGCCCAAATCGAAGATGCCAAAGCCATGATGCATCTTTGTAGTAAGCTTTCAAGCACTTTGCAACATCATTTTGTATGTTGATCAAGAACATTCTATTTTTTGACATCGGCACTTTAGCAATGAAGTTATTATTATCATCTTTTATAGAAAGATTATAATTATTCATATGAATATCATAACCTTTCTCTACCAGTTGCCCTAAACTTAATATGTTACTTTTCATATTGGGCACATAGTAGACATTTGAAATAAATTGATGTCTCCCATCTTTCAAACGGATAAGAATGTTACCTCTCCCTTTCACTGCTATTGTGGAATCATCTCCAAATGAAACATTTCCGCTTACTGACTCGTCTAGCTCCACGAACATGTCTTTCCTTCCACACATGTGATTGCTTGCACCACTGTCAAGATACCAGGAATTTGCTTGGCCACCATTAGTTTCCTTTCGTGCTAGAAGAAGAGTTTCTTTTCCATCTGTCTTTTCCTCCACGTAGTTGGTCTTCTCCTCAATTTTTTTGTTGGGAGCTCTACATTCTGAAGTATAATGCCCAAACTTCTGACAATTATAACATCGAACTTGAGATTTGTCATGCCTTGAGTTCGGATTGATTCTTCCACGGCCTCGTGTTGAGCTTTCTCCTTTCTCATAGTTGTTGTTAGAATTGTTGTTGTTGTAATTCCAGCCTCGTCCACGACCTCGACTTCCACCTCGTCCATGGCCTCTGCCTTGGCCACGTTGGTTTCTATCATTGCGTTGGCTTTCATGCATATCCTTGAGTTGTAGCTTGAGGAGTTGCTCAGTAAACTCATGTTTCTTCTTATGCTTCTATTCGTATGCTTGCCATGATCCTTGGAGTTGCTTTCATGTGTAAGGATTCGAATTCACCTCTTAATGTTTGGAGACGAACCTTTTTCACTTGCTCGGATTCTTTGTAAGAGGTTTACAGCTTCTCCCACGCTTCCTTGCTAGAGCTTGCACTTGAAATCTTTTCAAAACCATCATCATCTAATGCTTGATAGATGAGGTAAAGAGCCTTCTTGTCTCTCTTTCTTGAATCTTCAAAGTTGTCTTTTGATCTGGTGTAAGAGTAGCAAAAGCATCAACATTCGCAGGCTCGTTATAGCCTTTCTCTGTGATATTCCACACATCTTGTGATCCAAGAAGTGCCTTTATTTTGATACTTCAATTGTCGTAGTTGTTGTTGTTGAGTGTCGAAACTTGGAATGGTGCCATACCATTTGCCATATCTCTCAATATAATGAGAATTTGCAAAATCCGATTGCACGGATGAATCTGGAAGGCCAAAAAAAACTTTGGATGGACTTGGACAACTCGATCAAGGGGCTCCAACTCGGTGAGTCAAACTCGATTTTCTGGTAGCAGTCTTGCGGCGGTGCGTCAGAACTCAGATTGAAAAAATTCTGGCGGCGTCGGATTCCTCTCGTCGAGACCTTCGATCTTTCTAACTCGCTCTGATACCACTTTGTTGGAAATAAAACACTCACACAAACAACTTTTATTGAAACACAAACAAATATTATAAGAGCACTCTTACTCAAAAACAAGAACTACAACTCACTCTTATAAGACTTTGCTTCTTCACTCACTTAGAAGCTCTTAATTTTTCTTGATGCTTAAACTACAATGGGGAGTGGTATTTATACTACTTAAAAACAATCCTACACCACACAAATAAACTAATTTAAATCATTACAAATTCAACAAATACATAACTCTTACCTAACTAAATTGATGTAAGCAATGACATCATTACTTAAATAATGTAAGCAATGACATCTTTACTTAAATGATGTAAGCAATGACATCAATTTAGTTTTGGTTTGGGTTTAGGCTCCCATAATGGATCAAGTTTATGATCCAACATAATGGTATTTTACCAGTTCATTTCAAACCCAACAAGATTATCAATGTTATCAATTTTTTTTCTTAAACACAAATAAAAATTCATAAAAACAACTTACTTCAGTGACAGCTTTGACAATGAAATTCTTCTCCTTCATTTCTTTTTCATCTTACTGCACAAACAGTAAGCTTACAAGTTCTTCGAAGAAAGGCATTTTTTTCAACACATGAGTTTTTAATCAAAATGGATGAACTGAGCTGAGAAACAAGAAAAAGTTTCTTGGAACTCTTAAAGATAATTCTTGGGATTTTTATGTTGCTGATTGTGCCTTGTCAATATCTACTCCTATGAAATAATGCACTGGACAACTAAAGCAAGAGAGGATTGAAGCAATTTGCCCAAAATCTTTAACATTCTCTAACCATTCAAGTTCAAGCCAAGCTATGCTTAGTTGTTTTCATGGACATTGAACTGGTTCACTGCAAAAATCAAGATAGGATTAAAAACAATTTGCCCAAATTCTCATCATTCTCAATCCCATATCAAGTTAGAAAGAGAAGGGACCAGGAGATGAAGTTGATAAATAAGAGGCACATAGCTCCATTGCATCATACTTACCTGGATGGGGTGGATGGATGATCAATAAGATTCATGGCCTAGGTCAACGATCTTCATTGCACTCGGGGGAGGCACTTTCCTAAGGTCTCCCCAAGTGGGAGAGGCTACATCATAATTTGTGGCAGTGGGGCCTGCGTTCGCGCGGCCCTCGTCCATTGTTAGTTTAAACATTTTACTTGCAGCATGGGCTTTCTTTGTTCAATACATTTTAGAAATTAAAATTGATGCATGCGAAAATGTAAATCTCATCCAGAACATTGAATCTGCCGAAGAATCATTTCGGGAGCCTAACCCCATTGCTGCGGAAGAAGATGGACTGGTTATGGAACACGGAGTAAAATTTGAAATCAATGAAATGAATGATGAAATGGAAATTGAGTAGATAAGGGTGAAATTGAGGTAACTCAACCTCTAACTAAATTTCATAAATCGTAAGCTTGGGATTAAGGTAACCCTACGCAGAGTCTGTAGGCATGCATAGACATCTCAATGCTTCTATAGAAAGTGTCAGAGGAATCTCGATATTAGTTATCCATAACAGAGATATATCTTAATTCATGTGGCCGGTTGATAAGGAGATGAAGAACTTCTTTCCTTCAGAACGTAGTGGAGGTAGCTCGACACTAGAGAAGACATCTCAATATTATAACAACACAATAGAAGCATTTCAGTATTAAACTGTAGAAGCAACAATCAAAATTTTAAATTCTTTTCTTTTTAAAAGTAAACTCGTTTTATGTTTAGATATTAAACACGTTCAAGTAGTTTCGCAAAAACAAACGGTTATTAAATGTTATGTGACAGATTTTGATGATACCTGTACTTGACAATGGAGCAGGCTTCAATCGACTCCAACTGTGCTGCAATCCGTATCCATCTACAATTTTGTTTAGATATACTAATGGTGTTTTATCAAGCAACTGTTCATTTCAAACCCAACAACATGCTCAATGTTGGCAATTGTTTTATCCATTAATGAAAAGAAAACAAAAAAAAACAGCTAAATAATAATTGAACTGGCACACTTTGTTTGAAAACCCCCCAACACCATTGGTGAAAGCTTTTGGAAACTCTAATATCTCACTTATGATGAATGTAAAGATGGTAAATGTTTGATTTGCAGCCATTTCTAGTTAGTGGATAAAAAGAGAAAGAAAGAATCAAATTATACACTTTGGGAGCTCTGTCCCTGATACATAGATAGTGTCAGTGCATGCATGCGTTGGTAAATTAGTTTTGTTAGACCAAATTCATATCTGCAGAGTCTCAATTATGTATCAACGGATAATATTATTCACACCCCACATCTCGGTTCAGTTGTCTCATAAAAACAAGAAATATTATCAATTCATGACAATTTCCATGGCTTCAAACACCAGTAAATGCATACAAATGTTTCAAAAATTGATACCTTTGGTGTTGTTAGGACAATGTTAACTCAAACATCTCTCAAGTCTAAAAGCTCACTATCTGCATATATTTTGAGCTATGCGCTGTGTGCAATGAAACCATTATGACCTAGCAGATTCCTGTTGTATTCACACCAACGAAACCATTTTCAGATTTTTCAACACAATCGTTCTTTTTAATTAATGGATGTATTTTACGGAATAAGTAACTAAATATCATGGTTATGAATACAAGCTGCTGGAGAATAAAGAACATCTTCAATTACGATGATGCCAAAGGACATTGGACAAGATGAATTAAGAATCCAAAATTTAAAACAAGAAACAAGGCATCTCACCTTTAGCTTTTCTACTGAACATCCTTGCAATTGCTGCCAGGCTCTCTTCACTTGTCTGTAGAAACTAACATACATAAAGTGGTGTTAGAGAGTGGGTTAACAAGAGTAGTTGTTGTCTCCCTCATCAATGATGACTTTCTACAAAAGTACATATGTGAGAATTTAACAAAATAGTTTTAGTAAAGCAGAAATCCAAAAACAACGTAATCTGAATTATTCATACTGCGACTAACATCACCAGTAACCGAGCTTGTTCGACACATAACTTCCAGTTCCAGAACCAAACTTTTCTGCTGGAAGAGAACTTTACAAGGAGAACATATTCAAAAGCCAAGCTACAAAATACAGAAGTCTATGAGAGGGGAGTTGCAAATCGAAAACTGCTGACCAATACAACAACATACTTCCGAACACTGTAAGAAGATCGGTTGTTTTCGAAAAAGTTGAAGACAGATTTGAAGAGCTTGAGGCGTGAGCCATATTCTCCTCATAATTATGCAATAGGCTACAACACAGATGAATAAGAAAATCCGACTTACTAATTATTTAACACAGCCAATTCAGAAGTATCACAGCTTTCACTGGTTCCAATGTGTAGTTGCCTTTTAAATGCGAGATATTTATTTTCTAAATTCAGATACAGGACTATTTATGATAAAGCACTAACCCCACATCGAACAAGGAAGAGAAGGGAGAACGAGCGGAGCTTTATAAATAAGAGGCAACTAACTACTTTGAAAGATACTTACCTGGACAGGGTCAGTGGGCGATCAATAAATCCCATGGCCTAAGTTAGCGACATCCATTGCATTTAGGAGGGCCGCTCGTCTAACGTCTCCTCAATGTGGGAGAGCCTACGTCATAATTTGTGGCTGTGGAGGCTTGCGTCCGCGCGGCCCCTTTCAAATGGAGTGTAAAGGAATTGAGCCAATTATTTTTGGGTATGTTCTTGTTGAATTGCCATTTACTAAATAATTAAGGGTAAATTATTCATTTAATTTTTAAATTATTAATTTAAATTTTGATTCGAAAATTATATTTAAAGTTTAATTTTTATCTATTTTTAGTACCAAAGCTTTTTTTTATTAATCTGGGGTAAGTATAATATAACTTTCAACCATTGGATATTGAATATTCGTACTTGGACATTGAACATTCGTATCTCTCGCATTGCTAGTGTTCGAGACTTCAAAAAATAACGATAATTCATTTACAGGTCATTGGGGTTCATGTTTAGTACCAAAACTTAAGTGTTGTGTTTAGTATCAAAATTTAAATGTTGAAGAAATTGAAAAACTTAAGTGTTGTGTTTAGTATCAAAATTTAAATGTTGAAGAAATTGAAAGTTTACATGAAAAAAAAAGAAAGTTTAGGTATTAAAACGGACCAAACATGGTAGTTTAAGTATTAAAACGTGTTTAGTTTTTAACAATGTGATATTAAAATGAAAAAAAACTAAATGTTAGATATAATTTTTAAAAAATAAAAGTTCAAGGACTAAAACAGACAATTAATAATTTAAGTACTAAACGCATAATTTATTAAAATTAAATGTTAGATATAATTTTTAAAAAATAAAAGTTCAAGGACTAAAACAGACAATTAATAATTTAAGTACTAAACGAATAATTTATTCCATTCCATAGTTTAATTGAATTAGAATTAACTTTCGTCGGTAAATTAGGTCCGACACAATTATGATATTAAAAAAATATCACAAAAGCAAAATCAAGTGCAGTAGTGTATCGAAGTGTACATAAAAAAATTTAAAATATTAAAAAAATAGAGTTTGAATTTAATGAAACATCCTCAATTACCATCTAATTTTTAAATATATTAATAAATTTTAAAAGATTATATAATTGAATTCTTATAGTATTAATATTGTGTCAATAATTTTCTTTTGACAGATCAATTATCAATTTAAACATTGAACGTGAGATCTAACATCTAACATGAAGTATATTTAAAATAAAGATTCATAATCATTTAATAATGAAAATTTAAATAATCTTGTATATCTAGTATTTGAAATTAACTACTTAAAGATCTCTAAATGTAACAACTATTCATTTAATCACTGATATAATTTAGTTCGAACAACAACATTGAGTTCCTACACGACGTTAGAAAATTAAATTGTCATACGAAATTTATAAGGTTAACTTATTTAACATGTCAGATCTATATTATACTGAATTTACATGTGACGTTAAAAATTTAAATTGTCATTAAATTTGTAAGGTTAATATTTTTAACATATATGATCTAAAGTATTTATTTAATAAGTTCCCATATATTTATAATTTGACATGTTTTAAATGTACTTCATGTCATAATTGAGGTGACGTATAATATCCAAATTAATGGCTAGGTTGATAAAACGACATATAATATTAATGCATTAAGAATTTAATTAGAATATTTTAAAATTTTGAATACCAATTTAGAATTTATATAATAATTTAAGGAGTTTAATACAATTTTATTAGCCTTTAATAGACGGTAAAATTAAAATTAGCTGACCCTAGATTGAAATCATCTTTCTTTTGAGGACAATGAGTAACCTTACAAACCCTCAAGAATTATACCCCAAATTCTTGAGAACACTCTCTCCCAAAGAGAACAATACAAATTTGCAAACTTACAAGGAAATCCTCACAAGGTAGATTGTTTGCACAATTCTAGAATAAAGAAAAGAACACTCGAAAATGAATGCAATTGAGTATAAGAAGTGTTCTTGAAAGCAAAATGAATATTGAATGAAAAATAGGCTTGAAATGCACAAACTTGAGGTTTGATGCTTTCTCTTTGATTCTTTCTTGATTCTAGTTGCTTGTTGTTTCTTGTTGTTTATCAATGACTTCTAAGCTTGTTTAAATACACCTTCAATTGATTCTGAACGTTGGGGATGATTAGTGGAGTCAATAGAGCCGTTTAAGTGTGAAAACAATTAATATTAATGGTTGGGAGCGTCTCATGCATCGATGCATACCCTAGGTGCATCGGTGCATCAGTGTAAAATTCAAATATTTTGACCGTTGGACTCTCAGTGCATCGGTGCACTAAGAGTGCATCGGTGCACTAAGAGTGCATCGATGCATAAAATGCATTCGATGTTTTGAAAAAGCTTGAGTGCATCAATGCATCAAATGCACTGAGTGCATCGATGCATGATATGTGCATCGATGCATAAAATGCATTCGATGTTCAAGAAATTAATTGATGCATCGATGCATGGATTGGTGCATCGGTGCATGCCCTTGAAAAATTGATTTTAGGCTTGATTTCGGTTCAAAATACTTTGTGAAAATTTATTTAAAAATAGTTTAAGTATAAAACACAAATTTACACATTTAGTAAGGTTTAAAATTGATCTTGAAAGACTTGGAGTAATAGCTTGATATTCGAGTAATTAAATCGAATATACTTTTAGAAAATCATTTGCAAAATCTTAAAATTCATTTAACTTAATTTGTTATATCGAAACATCAAAATGTATTTAACATGTAGGGTAGTAGGTTGCCCCTAATGCTAGGTTGAGAGCAACTTCCGTAGAAGACCTCTAGCAATTATGAATTGCCCACCGTGGGACTCGATCCCACAACCACAAGGCTAATAGACGGTGCTTTGATTAAAATCAATTTGGTAGTTTAATGATCTAATTGATTTTTTTTGGTTCAATAATTAAAATAGAACCGATCTCATAATTTAGTGACCTTGGGGTAATTTACCGTATAATTTTTTCATCTATTGACTAATGCTTAATATAAAAGAAAATTGTCCGAACTATATCTCTTTTCTCATTTAGGTGCCTAAACATTCCCTCAATTTAGGTGCTAACATTTCTAATGTTATTATTTTAGTGCCTCAATTGTAGTAGACGTTAAAAAATTCTGTTAGCCACTCAAATATGACATGTGACGTCTTTATAAATTTTTAACAATTTATTTTTTGAAAAACTCTAAATTATTATTATTTTTCAAAAATTTTGTAAAATCTACAAAACAAATCTCAAAATTGGTGTCTAAACTCATCGACCGCCGTCAATTGTGGCTTCAACTCCCCAAAATTCCTAAACTCAAATCTCTAAATCCAAACCTTAGATTCTTAAATTCCAGTACACATCTATCCCAATTGGTGGTGGGTGGTCGACAGGCTGGTGGTCGGTGGATGAGTTGATGATTGTCATGTATCGAATACTGATTGGTTGACTTATTTTTAATTGGCGCTATGACTTAGGCACCTAAATAATAGAATTAGACACGTTTGACACATAAATTAACTAAAATAAGTTTAGAAATTTAAACAAGAAAAAATATAGTTTGAATATTTATTTTTATATTAAGCCACCGGTTAATGTAAATAACATTATTTGTTTCTTTCATGTCATCAGTATTTTAAATGTTTTCAATTTTATCTAAAAGTGGATATCAAAATTTCTCCCGGACTCAAACCAATGTTTGAAGTTAGATTCATTTTGGTTCAAATTTGAGAGCACGAAGTTACTCATTTATGGCATTTGTTCGTGTGTTTGAGCAAACTTTGATGGTAGTCGGGTTATTTAGGCTTCAAATATTTGGACTCTTTCTTTGAAATCTGATTGATTTTGAGGTCTTCCAACTGCCAACCACCACACTCACACCACCGTTTTCCGATTTCTGAAGCTCCGGACGGAGTTATAGGGAAAGCTCCTCAAGCGGAGGCGAAACCAAATGAAATACACGGAAAGCCCTCCAGCTGTTTGGTTAAATGTCTCACTTATATAAAAGAACTCAAATTGCAAACTTTGAACTGCAAAAACAAGGTTGAAGATAGTTGTGCTGGAGATGGGAATCAGATGGCCTAGAATTTTAACCCCAACGCATCTCTCTCAAATTATATCAACCCAAAAGAACCCATTAACTGCGCTCCAAATCTTCAATCAAGCCCACCAAAAATACCCCAACTATCGTCACAATGGTCCCGTTTATGCCACCATGATCAACATTCTTGGCAACTCCGGTCGAATTCTGGAGATGAAACAAGTGATCGATCAAATGAAAGACGATTCCTGTGAGTGCAAAGATTCAGTTTTTGTTGGTGCTATCAGAACTTTTGCAAGTGCTGGAATGGCAAATGAGGCTTTGAATCTCTTTAACAGCATTCCTCAATTCAATTGTGTCAATTTTACTGAATCTTTTAATACCATTTTGGGGATAGTGCTGAAAGAGTCTAATTTCAAAGCTGCTTATCAACTCTTTTCGGACAAATGTTGGAGATTGGAAGTGAAATCTAGGGTGAAATCATTGAATTTGTTAATGGAAGGGCTTTGTCGATTCAAAAAATCCGATCTTGCCTTGAATATTTTCCAAGAAATGGATTTTCAAGGTTGTTACCCTGATAGAGAAAGTTACAGGATTTTAATGAAGGGTTTATGTGATGATGGGAGGTTAGATGAAGCTATCCATTTGTTATATTCAATGTTTTGGAGGATTTCCCAAAAGGGTAGTGGTGAAGATATTGTCATTTATCGGATTTTATTGGATGCTTTGTGCGATGACGGGAAGGTTGAAGAAGCTTTAGAAATTCTTGGGAAGGTTTTGAGGAAGGGTTTAAAGGCTCCGAAGAGTCATCGACAACGACTTGATTTAAGTCAATGCAGAGATGGGGAAGATTCAGAAGATACTAAACGCTTGATTAATGAAGCCTTAATAAGAGGTGGAGTTCCTAGTATGGGTAGCTATAGTGCTATGGCCATTGATTTATATAATGAAGGTAGAGTCGATGAGGGTGATAAAGTGCTCGATGAAATGCGTAAGAGAGGGTTCTTCCCATCTTTGCCGATGTACAAAGCAAAGGCAGAAGCTTTGAGTAAGAAAGGGAGAGTTAGTGAAGTCATCAAAGTAATCGAAGAGGATATC